GTGTGTGTGTGTGTGTGTGTGTGTGTTGGGGGCGGGAACGTAGGATTGAAGCAGATCTAAAAAAACGTGCTCTTCCTGTGTGAAGCTACTGTTTCTACGTTGGAGCGGAAATACCAGTCTGTAGGTTTGAGGTCATGTTGTGTTCACCAGTAAAAAAAATAAAAATAAAAAATCTAGACAGAAAAGCACATGTGGTATTTATTTTAGAGAAACAAACATCTGAGTTGTGAATTTGTCAGTATGAACAGAACTGAACTGTGTTTCTAGAACACAGGAACGATACATTATTATAAAACACTTTTAAACGCCGTCAAAGAATTCTAATTACATCTTTTTGATCCAAAACCACATCGTTTTGAGCTACTTCTCTCCTGCCAACTTTTWGCTCAATATCTATAAAAAAATGACAGATTTATTTCTTCTTTAATGACACAACAGTTTATCTACACTTAAGTAGCAGCATTGGATTTACTCTAAAGACTTGACATTTACAGGTGAGCAAACAGTGGTAAGAAAAATAAAAGGGTTTAAGGTGTCAAATTCAAGGCTCGTGGGCCAAATCTGGCCTCAAAGGTGATCTTTTATATATAAAGTAGTTTTACTGTTTCTCTTTTTGTCACTGAATTAAGTGTAATCTTAAAATGACAGCATTTAATTTTTTAATGGATCTTTAATGCAGGCTTTTTGTTTGTAATTGATTTGCTGGCTTGTGATTAAAAGTATCTCTAATGAAAAGTTGATAGAGTAAGGCATAATAAGTGAAAGCTATTGATGTGTCTTCTAAATGCAATCTTATTTCTTTGTCCGTTAGGTTATGTTTGTTAACATAACTGAGGAAAAGTAATTTGTATTTCTATAAAAATGATTTGTTACATTTAAAACGAACATTTTCTTTCAGTATATTGACAGATTGGCCCTTGGCTTGGACCAAACTTGGGTTTGACACCCCTGGTTTAAGGCAAACGTACCTGTTCAGCCAGCCAGCCGATGTGTTTGAGGTGGGGGTGTGTGGAGGCTGCAGACGAAGCCCCCAGGTAGGCGTTGACGTGSGCCAGAGTTTGTGGCAGCAGCGCAGCGATGTTGGTGTGCACGGCGGTGAACCAGGAGCTGGCCGTCGGTCCGTCTTTACAGCGCAGGACCACCGTGTGCTGGCCGTCCGGGGAATGCAGCTCCAGGAGTCTTCATGGAGYAGAAGAAAAGAATCAGTGTAAAAATATTACATATATTTTTCATAAGTAGAGTCGTTTTTTACACTGAAGCCCAGAACAGAAACTCTGTTTTAAAAGAGATGAATTTTACCAGAACTACTTCTGATGAGTTTACTGCACGCTGCTTTCCTGCCTGTCGTTTTAATAGCATACAGTGTATATTAATTCAAACTGATCCGATGAGTCACGAATGTCTAAAGTCCACACAATAAATTTCTCCCACTCAGTAATGTAGGACAGGTTTTAACACGACTTCCACTGACAGGGGAGAATTTTCTTTTTCCAATCTTTCTAAAAACACCAACGTGAGTTATGAACTAGTTTTTACTCTCCACTCTTCTTTTTTAAAACGTTCTTTAAAATCCTGAATACATAAAGACAAATTCCTTTTCAAACTACAAACCAGATGTTAGAAGAATTGGTGGAAAACAAGCAAAACAATCCTTGAAGGAATGAATCCACTAAAAATGAAAGAGATGCAGATTTTTAAAAAAGTRTTCAGTAGTTAATGAGATATTTAGTAACAGACACCTGGGTGAAACATTATGAATCAGACTTTATCCCACTCAATCTGTCCCAAAAGAAACATTTCAAGCTAACGAACAGGAGACCCACAGGAAGTAATCATGTTCCCAGCCACACTTAAAATCCCACCCTCTCAGGTATTTTTCCCACACAGCTCAGGGTCAGACCTGTTCTCCAGATCAGGCATGGTGAGGTTCCTGCTGATGAAGCACATCTTCAGGCTGATCACCTTCCTGTCTTTGGTGGAGCCGCTGTGCTTGGGCGAGCCCGAGTCGTCGCTGCTGCTGTAGCTGGGCGACTGCGGGCGAACGCTGTCCCACGGCARGTCGGCAACCAGGGAGGGCTTCTTGAAGAGCGGGGACACCTCACGGATGTACTTCACTGTGGACACATGGGAGACCAGAGATCAGAGAGGAACGTAGATCTCCTGCAGGTGCTCGGGTTGGGGAAGGCAGGCGTAACATTTATGTTTCAGAAAGTTTAAACCAAAAATATCTTAAAGGGGCAATATCATGTAAAATCAACTTTTTCGAGTTTTATATCATGTTATAATACCCTCATAAAAAACATGTCCAAAGCCTTGCTTTGACTCATTCATGCATGTTTGAGAAATCCTGCAGCGTTTTTATGAAGCCATGCTGAGGAGCAAAACGACAGGTGGGGACCAGAAACGCCCCTGGGACGTGTCTTTAAGCCGAACTTCCTCATCACGGAGCACATCTCCCCACCCCACACACCCCGCCCATGACTTCTGCAGGCTCTCGGGTGAAATTGAAAGTGAAACTTAACTGTCTGCTGAGCTCTTTAACTTTAGTTCTCACTCAGTGAAGCTCTTTTCAGATTCAAAATACCTTTGAGGAAATGTATTTTCAGACGCCAAGTAAACTGCATCATAGTGCATGCGCAACCTCCCCCCCCCCCCCGCACTGAACGAGACGGAAGCGGAAGATGTTTCTTAAAGAGACAGAGGTCAATTTCAAGGCGTTTAGAAGAGTATTGCCCCTTTAATAGAAAGTTTATTACTCAAATTTATTTTCAACTTACTTGTTTATGATTAATGACACTTTTGTCCAACTGTTTAACAATGTATTTACATTTTATGTGATATTTTTGGTGTAAAAATCCTAATATCTGTGTAGTGCTTGTTCTTACAGTACTCAACATGAAGCTAATCTTTTGTGCAAACTCAGCAACTTTCAGTTTTAAATCAAGAAATCTCAGGAAAAAAACCCAAACATCTACAGTATTCAGAAGTCTGGCTGTCTTTTATTTTATTTGTAAGGTTCATAATAAACTGAACAGCAGTCTGCTGTGGTTTATTAGGATAAGGCAACAAGTATCTTGAGCCAACAAAACTTTCAGATTATTTTTAGTTGGAGCAGCTGTGAGTTTCCACCCAATAAGGACACAAGATGCTCAACGTTATATGTGGTGTTTATGAGTCTTACAGACTTGAACACACCTGAAGGCCTCACAGAACCAAAACAATTATGGGGCTTAACAGTTCTTGACATATTTTARGTCAGTCCTAAAAGTACAAATCATCTTATAAAAACTAACTTGGTTGTGCAGAGGTGAGCTCAGCCAGTCAGCTGTTTGTAAAATTGTAAATTGTAAAATTCATTTTCCATATTTGGTCCTGCAGCCTCTCATCCCTACAGCGGCCTCACATTTTTTTTCCCTCCTGTGCGCAAACGTTTTATCTCCTCATTGTTTCCTTCTGCTCGCAGTCTCATGTTCGGCTTGAGGACAGTGAAAACAGGGAAAAAAGGAGTTTCTGGGTTTGTGTTTGAGTTGGACAATGAGCCCGTCTGCTCCGTATGAAACCTGACACAAGACTCAGAGGAGATGAGGTCATTCCTGAAAACAGACTGAGACTTTAGTGTGAGAGAAAGATTTCTGACCAGGGGTACATTTTACACAAAGAAAAAGTGTTTTATTTATTAACTAAAGCACAAAAGCTGAACTAATAAAAGAGTATTAATAAGAGTTATATAAAAGTAAGCAGCTCACATTAGTCAATGCATGGTTGAAAGAGGAGCTACAGGTAATGTACAAACTATCAGCTGCAGATTCACATCAATATGGACCCAACCTGAAGATGGTTTCCAACACCATGATGAACCTGTGACATGAAGAATGAAGGTAGGTGATCCAGCAAGGTGTACCTAAAAAATGGCCGGTGAGGGTTTTCTGCAGGGAACAGCAGAGTAAATCACAGTAATGTGTTCCCAACTCTGCAGGAGTCAGACAAAAGATCAATCACTGCTCTGATGCAGAGGAGGCTGCACCGTGCATGAGCTCCTGTGCACGTTACTTTCTACATGAGTCAAAGAGCTGGGCGGGAAATTCTGCCGCGGACACCAGCCAAGGTCGGCCATTCTAACTACACCGCACCGCCCACACCGACAAGAACCGAGTTCGTTTCTGCAAACGTAAGTGGTTTAGAGAAAGTGAGCGAGAGCATTCCTGAACGACTGTTTATGTGTGAGGGTCAGAGGGAAGGAGATGTCTCAGCAGCAAAGCCTCGCTCTCACACTAAGAATCAACTCTGACGCAGAGACGATCAGATGGGGAACTCTCTGTTGGACCACCTGGGCCCCTTTTGTGGTTCCACAAAATTAGACTTTCACATTAAAAAAAGACAATCTCTCTTCACTCCAGTTACCTGGGCTGACAAACAACTTCCTGTTGTAGCAAATATGTGAACTTCTTTCTTTGAAACAAAAAAAATTATTATTGGAGAGAAAAATACTGAAACACGACCCATTAAATTTAATGCTGAACTTCAAGTTGGTACGTAAAGAGGTGAACTTACGATTAAAAATATAAAGACATGAGCCAAGATCCAGTTGCTGACTCCTTATTCTTCAGAACTCCTTATTTGGTATCTTCTGCTTTCTACTAACATATTCTTTAATATTCTTATACAGTTTAAAAACATCCAACTGAAACAAATGTAAAGAAATGTGAACTGAAACAATGACTTCATCAAAACCAGAACTAGATACTTAAATAATGGTCCCACTGCAGTTTGTGAAACTAAAGGACAAGAAGAGGAATGAGAAGAATGGAAAACAGCAAAGTGGACCTGAAACCCGGTTCTGCTTGTGTAAACTGTAATTATGTTCCTGCCGCCATGCAGTGAAGTTTGTGAAAGTTCTGCTGTGTAATTTGTTGGCAGCGTAACAACCATCTGCTTTTATTCAGTTTCCTTTCTTTTGTTTGGTTCAAATGAAAAGCCTGAAAGCAGAGCCAGGCTTTGATGTAGTCAGAGAACTTGAGTTCATCATCATCATCATCACCACCATAATAATGGGAAGGCTGAGCTTTAAACCTTGTGTTGTTTCGAGTTGCTGGGCTGTTATCGTGTTGAACTCTAGTTGGTTTTACACTGAAGGTCAAARTCAGAACCGACCAGTTCCACATCAGGTATAAAAAATAAATAAATCAAGACCAGAAAGTCCCAAACTAAAACTCAAATCAAAAGCAAAAAGTCTGTCCTGAACAGTTTCTCTGTATCTGGGGAAAAGATAAATGTCTCTTGGACTTGGATTGTTTTTCCATGAGCTCTGTGTTGATGGTCCAAGGACTTCTTGTCTAAAGAGTTTTTTTCCGATGTTCTTGATTTACCCAGTTGTTGCTGCCAGAAGTAATAACTCCTAACGGCCTGTGTCTCTCAGATGAACTGATTTATTCCTCTCCCACCATTACAGACAGAATCTGTGTGTTTGTGCTGAATCTCTGATTGTCTGTCAGATGAACTCATTAGCTCTTCCTGACCTCTTGCTCAGCTCCACTTCTGTATCTAATTAGCTCGGTCCACAAAGGACTAACTCCTCTGAGAAAGTATTTGTGCGTTTCTATATCCGAGCATTTGAAAGGAGATTCCCCAGTGATGCAAACCAACATCCCATAAGACTGCTGGCTCATCTGCTTCCCTTCATACCTCAGCTGCCTGCAGGCTGAAAGGACAGACAGAAAAAAAAGGAAGAGATTTAGAAGTAGAGACAGAAGAGGAGGACGGTCTGACTCGACACATATTTGGTTGTGGCGATAGCTGCGGTTAAAACCACCCGTAAAACTACTCTTCCTCACCGCAAACCGTGAAGCAATCATTTTATGGTACGACTGAAATATTAGCTTACAGAACAGAGTTGTTAAGTTAGACCCCCCCCCCCCAGAAATCCCCCTGTGGTTTGGCCTGCGTTCTGCACTCACATACATTTTTTCCCCCTCAGCCGTCTCTAATAGTTCTTCCCCTTTTCAGGCCTTTCTATCCCACTGTTCCTATGTTTAGTTTTAATTTTGAGAAAATTACATCTTTATCTCACTTGTTCTTTTGGGGATTTTTTTCTTCCTCCTCACCACCCCTTTCTAGTCTTTCGTCCAGAAAACTTAATGAGAACAACATGTCTGAAAGTAGATCCAGCTGAGACAGAACATGTGTGGAACAGGTTCTCCTCCAAAATCATACATAAACATTAATAACGTCCACCATTTTTTCTGTTGCTCATTTCATTGTGAGTTTAGGACTAAAAAGTCCAAGTGGTGACCAAGTGGTAAGTTCCAACAAATAATCAAAAAGAACTCAAATTGTACATTTAGTTCATGTAAATAACATAAAAAATAACAAGTAAAAATACCAAATCATCCAAACTGGGATCTAAACTAGGATAAATCCAGAACGTTTATTGACTGATTAAGATAAAAATGTAGACMACGGTTGCAACCATTAGTAGATTAATTTTTAAAAATCCACAGATAAAAACAAGGTAACTGAAATCCTAATCAGGGACTTACCTGGATTAAAATCTCTCAATTATATTATCATCTGCATCCTTCATCTAACTGTGATTTACCTTAAATAAATGCTGATAGAGAGGACATGCCATCAMATTTAATTAACTGCATGGTTTTCTAAAAGATCTGTGTATTCATTGGGCTGAAAGTGTGTGTCCACTTTGTATACGAGACAAAGCAGAATATAAACAGAAGTAATCACATTTATCACTGTCTGCAGAGGTGACTGAGAGCTCAGACTGATGGGTTTCATCTTTAGCAGGTTCTAGGTTTGGGCTAGATTGGCAAAAAAAAAAAAAGAATCACGATTAATTGTGGTATTGGATAACGATTAATGTGACAATTAATCCCCTGGAGTCCCTTGACGTCCTCATATCCTAGTCACATGACCAATCTAAATCACTGTAGTGGAAAAGATGAGCTAAAAATCAGTTACAAACAGTGTCAAAAGTAGACTTCATTCTATACATCAATTTTTAAATTGTGTTATGATAGACCAAGTAAAACCAGAGTTATGATAAATAAATTACAGAACTTTTTATAAAAATGTTATATTTGAAGCTGAGGGGAGCACTGAC